AACATTCCCTTAGCAACCAACGAATTTGGCTTTCAGCAAAGTCACAAATCTCTTCCAACCTTCTCCATGATGTCGGAGGTCTATCAATCACAACCAAAGATGGATGGATCCTTTTGATATGTTTTTGATGCATGAAATTCGACCAAATAGATTCATTCCTCTGCCATCTCTACCACAATTTACATGAAAATGCTTTTAGGGTATCAATAAAAAATCGAAAACCTAACCTTCCTTCTTGAATGGGATTACACAATTTTTTTCGAGTAGGCCAATGCATTCGCTTAACTTTACTATTCTAATCCCATAGAAAAGCATTGCATATTCTTTCCAAAGCAACCAAAATAGCCTTTAGTAAATGCACCATTTGTAATAAATAAAAAGGTATAGAGCTCAGCACATGCCGAATGAGTATAATCTTACCACATATACTAAGTAATTTCGAACTCTAATGAAAAAGACATTTTCTCAACATAGTGAGGAGACCATAAAAACAATACATCCTAACCTCCCTCTTACCAAAGGAATCCCCAAGTAATTCATTGGAAAGGGTTGTTCCCTAAATCGAAGGTTGGACGAAACCAAAGAGAGCTGCCCTTCTGAATCTCTCGAAGAACATGCAAAGGAGCTCTTACTAGCATTAACTTTTGGCTTGAAAAGGATTGGTACAAAGAGAAAATCCCAAACAATCTTCTGAATATCAAGTAAAAATAACTGTATCATCTACAAAAGCCAAGTATGGAACTTGAGATACAGCAGATATAAATATCATTGGTCATTTTCCAAAAAAATTTAATGAAGACCCCAACTTAGGAACTTAGCAACAAAAAGAAAAATAGCCAGTGATAATGGATCACCTTGTCTAACACTTCAATAGATTTGAAAAAAACTGATGGCTTCCTATTAATCAACACAGAGAACCATGAATTCATAAATGTCCGAAAAAAATAAATCAACCTCCAATTTAGAAAAATCAAAACTCCGTAACATAAACAATAAAAAATGCCATTTGACACGATGATAAGCCTTCTTCATGTCAAGTTTAAGAATCAAATTTGGACCAGTCAAATGCCTATCCAAATCTAAAATCAATTCTTGAGCCAACAACATGTTAATAACAATTCGCCTACCTGGAACACAATCTGTCTACCACAAAGAAATTAGTGAATGAAATAATTTATTGATCCTATTTGCCAAAATTTTTGAAATAATTTTCGAACATATATTGCAAAGATTGATGGGTCTGAAATCCTTCGATTGATGAGCACCCTCCACCTTTGGGAGAAGGACCAAAAGAGAGCTAGATCAACATCTAGGCTGTTCTACACTTAGAAAAAACTCTTGAACTATTAACAACAAGTTATCTTTAATAATCTCTCAACAAGACTGATAAAAACCTACACCAAATCCATCAGAACCTAGAGCACTATCAACATCCATTGGGAATACCGCCAACCGAAACTCTTTCAAAGTCGAAAGCTCTTTTAACATATCATTATCCTCATCACACACAACGGGAACTTCAAAAGAAAGCTGCGGATTAACCACCTGATGTTTTGAAAAAAATAACTTAGAATAAAATTCAACTTAGAAGATTTAAAAAGATCCACAAATTTCAATCAAAAGTCAGAAATATCCTTAATGCATGAAATAAAATTATTATTTCGTATTTGTTTCAATAATCCATAGGAGTAGGCTATGTTGGCATTACTTTCTTTCAACCATTTAATTCCCACCTTTTGACATCAAAAAGCACACTCAACAGCAAGTTTACTAGAATGTAAAGCTTGAGTTTCATGAAGAAGAATCTTGGACTGCTCATCCTAATTCATATCAAATTCCACTTCTCTCTACTTAAATGTCTTCTCTGCAACTTTAACTCTCAAAAAATATTACTAAATAATTCTCGATTTCAAATTCTCATCCTCTTTTGAACCACCATAAGTTTTCTAAAAAAATCAAACATCTCAATCTCAGATACAGGTTTCTTCCATTCATTTGAAACCATCTCTAAAATTGAGAATGATTATGCTAGACATTGAGAAAATGAAAAGAAGAAAGATGCAGCCCTCTTGAACCACACTTGACAAAAAAAGAGAATGATCTGAATGATCTCTTGCCAAGTGTAGAACTTTAGTGATCAGATGATATTCCATCCATCATGCATTAATTAAAACTCTATCCAACCTTTATCAAACAGTGTCATTAATTCAAATAAAAGGTTGGCCTTCGAACTCTACTGCTGATAAACCACAATTAAACATCAAATTCCTCCATATTACGAGTATTTGCTGGAGAACCGACAACTGGTTCCTCTCCCAATGATATAACATTAAAATCTCCAACAACCATCTAGGATTGATTTATATTCAAACTTAGAGATTCCATTACCTCCTACAAAATTCTATGTTCAACCCTAGTACATTTTGCATATACTTCGAAAAATATAAATGATGCACCAGAATGAAAAGAAGTAGATGTGTGAATCAATTGCTCTGCGTATTCAGTAAAATTCAAAACCATATCATCAAACCATAAAAATCAAATTTTCCCTTGAGTAAAAGAAATAGCTCGATCAAAGTGAAGATGCTAACGAACTATCTCCAACTGAGTATATTAGACATAGATTCTATAACAACCAACAACCGAATAGAATTCTTCATACAAAATTTATGCAAATAAAGTAAAGATTCAACACAGGAAGCTCCGCAAATATTTCAAACAATAATGTTAATTGGATTTAACATGAGAACGCTATGAATACATAGTTTGAGAAAATGGAACCTGAGAATACACTCGTGATTTAGAAGAATGTCTAGAACATCTCTTAACTTTACTTGGCTCCTCCACAATGAGTTTATTTATCAGAGCACTATTTTTCGCATCCAAAAGAGCTAATCGAGGACAATCGTCATCCAAAAAATTAGAATATTTCAACTTTATTTTAAAATTTCATTGAAACTCCTTCATTTGTTGTAAACAATCTGTCTAACTATGCAAGTTATTTGCTGATTTTGTCCAAAAAACTTGATGACTTAACAAAGAAAACTAGTTCAAATCCCCCGAACTATCCAGCAAATTTTTCAACAAGGCAAATGTATTAGTAACATCCACTATTGAATCATCATATGTATCCAAATTTGTAAAAGAACCATCAATATCTTGATTTGAGATTACAACAAACCCTGCCTCCAGTGAAATTGTTGACGATACACTTGAAATTCCTAAAGTTTCAGAGTTAACTACATGTTTATGCAATTGCGTACCTTCCAAAGATCCTATATTCTCCTGATTTGAATGAGACGACTCTGCCAGATTAATTCCAACTGTCTTTGAATAACATGCTAGAAGTCTTTTTTCCAAGGACATATAATTCTCCTTAACTGAGCTTGGTAAATCAAGTTTATTTAAAATTAGAAAGTCTTTTTAGATCACAAATTACCAATGCTTCCAACGTATTGTCAATAGGTTGCTGAATATGATCATCATCCATCACCTTTTATTTCCACTTATCCGATTGTAATTTAGGAATATAAATTGGTTAATTTTTTACCACTGCTTGTTTGGACCATTTCACCATAACTAATTTCAAAGAAAGGTTCTTTTTAAACAATCCACTTCTTGATGGCCTACATATTCACAGAAAGGACAAAAAAGGAAGGCCTGATTTCAAACTCCACTTGCTGCCAAAATCTAAAGTCAACATCACCAATCGATACCCATTTGACAGGAGCAGTTGAGATATCAACCTCAACAAAACTCGAGCAATTGAAGGCCTATGCAAGTCTCTTATTGCCGCATCTATCTTTAATAAATGTCCCAACGTGAAAGCCAATTTTGTTAATTGCTTCTTACCCAAAAAGGAATAAGAAGTTTAGAAAAGGTAATCCATACACGAACGATGGAAAGCTCTTGATTAGCTTTAAAATCTATAAATCACTTTTAAACAATCATAGGAGAACTCTGGGTAAACCAAATTCTACACACAAAAATTCTCGTATAGTTTTCTTCAAGAAATGACCGAATCAAAATATAAGTTGCATCCAATAATCCCACCGAGCAATCGCCTTTAAAATCTAAAGACATAAAAAACTTGTGTATTGCATCCATAGGAGGATTGTTAAAGGCAAAACGACCAACCAAAGCATTGCAAAAAGGCTCACAAGCATCAACATCATTCACAAAATTGTTGATTCCCACTGGCGGGGGTTGATTCCCACCAATAAAAGGATCTGGAGGCTTAAGAGCCACCATGAAGAATGAAACCATATGAACGAAAAAATTCTTGAAAAACCCTAGGAGAGAGAAAGTGAGGACTCGAAACGAGTTGCAATGCTATTAATTCAAATCAAAACTAAAAGTATAATACTTAATAAAGGGTATCGGTATTGAGCTACCTTTTGAAGAAAAAGAAATGACGGAAAATGTAACAAATAGGCAAGATTTTAGAGATTTTGTTCTATCGGGGAGACAAGGATCATAAACAAACATAGCACGGCCAACGGTAAACACTAATAATTTTAAGATTAACCATCACTCATTCAAATGGTTCAACAATCTCAATTTGGAGGTAATGTCATAGAGGATCCAAATACACACTTAATCATATTTTTGGAGATATATGATACAATTAAAATAAATAAAATTAGTGAAGATGTTATAAAACTAAGGCTCTATTTGGATTGATCATTTTTTCAAAAATAAGTTTTTCAAATACAATGCTACAGTAATACATAATAACTCAAAAAATATCTCATCCATACAATATATCAAATATTTCAAAAAATTTTATGGTAAAATTTTTTTCATATACACTGTTACAGTTAAATTTTTCAAAAATAACTCAAAAATAGCTAATCCAAATGGAGCCAAGATTGTTCCCATTTTCTTTGAGAGATAAAATTAAAATTTGGCTGCATTCTTATACTCCTAATACTTTGACCACTTGAGATGATTTATCTAGAGTATTTTTGAATAAATACTTTTCACCGAGTAAAACGGCTAAGTTTAGAGTGGACATTACTAGTTTTAGCCAATAAGATGGTGAATTATTATTTGAAGTGTGAGAAAGGTTTAGGGATTTGCTATGGATATATCCATACTATGGATTTTTCGATTGGTTCATTGTACAAATTTTCTATAATGATTTATCTTTCTCTACTAAAACTACTATTGGTGTAGCCACAGGTGGAGGTTTTATGGGTAATTCACCTCAAAAAATGCAAAACTTGATAGAAGAGATGACGGCAAACAACTACCAATGGAGAAATGAGCGAAATAATTCTAGGTGCTAAGCAGGTATGATCGAATGGACACTCTAAACATGTTAAGTGCCTAAATGAATAACGTGGTAAAATTACTAACTAGACAAATCGGGGTTGGTCCGAGTTCTTCATCTAATGTATATGTTACATGTTCTACATGTGGGGGTGAACATGACACTAATGCATGTGTTGATTTTGAGCAAATTCAATTTGTTAATAATTACAATTGAAATGCTCAAAACAATCCCTACTCAAACACATACAATTTGGAATGGAGAAATCATCCAAATTTTGGATGGAAGGATCAAAGCAATCCTTAAAGACTGACTAATCCACTAGAATTCCAACCAAGATAACCACAGACGAACACTAAATCAGGTTGAAAAATTGCGGTGAAAAAACTGACTAAATTTTAGAGAGATTTGAATGAATAGAGGGGAAATTAGACTAATTAACTTGGATGTATAGAAATGTAGAGGCCCAAATAGGTCAAATTGCTAATTCGATTAACAATAAAAATCAAGGAGAATTACCGATTAAAACGGAGGTAAATCCGATGGAGCATGTTAAAGCCATTACTCTTCATAGTGATAAATAATTAGAAGATCTTCCGATGATTGAAAGTAAAAAGAAAAGTGAAAGTGAGGAAAAGGAAAATGAGAAGATGAACCAAATGCTAAGTGTGGGGAAGGATAGTAAAAAAGGCAAAGTGAAAATCAACCCTTATCTTCCACTACCATTCCAATACCTCCGGCGGTTCCATTCTCTCGAAAGTTCAAACTAAATAAATTTGATAAAGATTTTGAAAATTTTTAAACAATTGCATATTAATACCCTTTTGCCGACACTATTTTGCAAATTCCTTCATATGTGAAATTTCTCAAAGAGATCATGACTAAAAAGAGGAAATTGGAAGACTGCGAAACAATAGTATTAACGAAAGAGTGCAGTGCATTATACAAAACAAACTACCGCCAAAATTGAAAGGTTCGGGGAGTTTTTTCTATACCATGCACTATCAGTAACATTGAATTTTTCAAAATATTATATGATTTTGGTGCGAATGTATCATTAATTCTCTTAATGGCGCCTAGACAATTAGGTTTACATAAGTTAAAACGCACTAATATTTCTTTGCAATTAGCTGATAGGTCGATTAGATATCTATTGGAAGTATTGGAGAATGTATTGATCAAAGTGCAACAATTTATCATTCCCGTGAATTTTGTGATATTTGATATGGAAGAAAATATGTCTATGCCAATCATTATTGGTAGATCATTTTTACCAACTGCAGGTATTATTATTGATGTTAAAAATGACAAATTTAAGTTTCAAGTAGGTCAAGAAGTGGTAAAATTTAATTTGAATAAAATGAAAAAAATTCTCATTGTTTACCGATCATATTTGTTCTATTGGCACCATTGATAAGCTAACTCAAGGGTTGAACTGAGTCAACTTTGATTTCGACCCTCTTGAATTTTGTTTAATGAGTTTAGAAATGTTAGAGAAAGATTGTGAAAAAATTGAAAAATTGACCAAGTATTTGGATTTTCAAACATCTTATAAAAGAAGTAATATTTATGAAAATTTTGGTCAAGGAAGAGGGCTCCCACCACTTTCGGAGATTGAATCTCCAAAATTAGATACCAATCCACTTCCAAATCATCTAAGATATGAGTTCTTGGAGAAAATAGCACTCTACGGGTAATTGTAAGTGCTCACCTAAATGAGAAACAATGTACGAAATTGTTAAGAGTTCTAAGAAAGCATAAGAAGGCAATTGCGCGGGCAATTTCAGACATCAAAGGCATAAGTTCTTCTATATGTATGCATCGCATTCTATTAGAAAATAATTGCAAATTGGTGGCGGAAATGCAAAGAAAACTCAATCAAAATATGAAATAGGTGGTAAGAAAAGAAATTCTCAAATGGCTCGATACAGGTATAATTTTTCCTATCTCTGATAGTATTTGAATTAGCCCTATTCATGTAGTCCCTAAAAAAGGTGAAATCATCATAATTATGGACAAAAATGATGAAATGATTCCATCGCGACTTGTGATCGGGTGGAGAGTCTATATTGATTATCGAAAATTAAATGCAATTACTAGACAAGACCACTTTTCCTTATTCTTTCTTGATCAATTATTGGAGTGAATAATCGGTTATGAATTTCACCGTTGTCTTGATTGCTGTTTAGACTATAACCAAATAGTTATAACTCCAGAGGATCAAGAAAAAATCACATTTCCTTGTCCTTATGGCACATTTACTTTTAGAAAGACGCCCCTACTACATTCCAATATTGCATGATGGCCATATTTTCTGATTATATTGAGAAAATTATGGAAATATTCATGAATAATTTTTCGGTATTTGATTCATCTTTTGATCATTGTCTTCATAATTTAGATTTAATTTTGCAGAGGTATGAGGAGACAAATCTTGTGTTAAATTTGGAGAAATGCCATTTTATGGTAGGGAAGGAATTATCTTAGGGTACAAAATTTTTGCTAAGGGAATTGAGGTGGACAAAACAAAAATAGAAGTTATTAAATGAATGCCACCTCCAAGTAATATCAAGGGGATAAGAAACTTTCTTGGACATACTGAATTTTTACTTTGTACTAAAAGTTTCGATTTACATTTTCACATGTAATTAATAATAAGATAACTTCTCTACCATAAAAATTAGTATAATTTTTATAGATTATTCACTATCATCTCATAGTTCATACTATACATATTCACTGTTGATTTGAGCCACTCATTTACAAAAAATAATTAAATAGCGTTAAAATATAGTAATTTACAGTCAAGATACTATGATAACTTTGAGTCTAACAATCACTTAGACTCTTGTCACTTAGAGAATAATCATTTTGTATTTAAAATAATTTTTTTATATGGATAAATCTATTGAATTTGATTATCTTATTAAGTACTTATATACTAGTTTAGATGTCAAATATCATATCAGATGAGAGCTAATATTTCTTATATAAAGACCCAACTTAGTATATATTAGTTTATCTGTATTAAAATAATATCCTATCTTGTTAGTACTATGACTAGAGATATTTAAAAATAAGCCCTAGCAATAATTAATTGAATCTGATCATCAAGATCTTTATGATTTAATAATTAGATTTATTCTAAGAACTTTATTATTCAAATGTAAAACATAAACAATTGGAATGATAAAGATGTCATTTAGTTGATTGACTTTAGGAGAGATATACTAACAGATAACCTTTTCTATATATAGGAGACTCTAGCAAAAAATTTGGAACAATTTAGATGCTTAACTTAGTTCATTTTACACTTGTAAAACCTACTTACTTAGTAGCTAATTTAGGAGCTTTCTTAATTTTGAAATACTATTGCAAATTTAGTTTGAAAAGAAGTTAGAGAAAGGCGGGCAAGGAGTTCTTTCTCTATTTTGGAACACAAGTCTCTTTAATGCTTTTCTTTCCTTATTTTGTTTACTTGAACTATATGTTTCGTTTGAATGAAATTATGATATTTTCTTTCAAATATTTGACGTCTAATTAAGTTTTTCATTTCTAGGGCTAGGATGGACTCATTCGCATATATCTTGATTTATGTTATGATTTTTGTTGGTTGATGAAATTCTTAGTCAAATTCATTTCTTATTTTTAAAATTCATGTTTGCAATTAAGGGGCTACTAATTGTAAACCATCTAAAATATTGAATGATGCATCTAAAGTTGAAATTTAATATTAGTTAGTAAAAACATGAACCCTAGACAAACTCATGAAAGTAGAGGTATATCTTTATGGCAAAAACAAGTAATTTTACACATCATAACTAGGAAATGAAAAACTTGTTTATGTACTGTTTAAGGATTATTAAGCATCTACCAAAGAAAAATTATGTGCTATTAAATTAAAAAGGGTGAAAAAGATTGAAGAGTGATGATTGGATTTAGAGAAGAATAATTGCATTATATGTAGATTACATTTTAAGTTTTGTGGCATATAGTAATCTAATATAAATATAAGTAGTGCAGGAAGAGAGCGTAGGCTACATTTATTATGTCATCTATAACCATGTAGTATTACTTTTAAAGTAAAAGAGATTTCTTTTGCAAAAGTTGGCAAGGATAATTATGATTTTTTTAGAAAGGATTTCATTGACTATTATTTATGTCGTTTATGATTTATTAGTTAAATTATGGTACATGATAGTGAAAAAAATTTAGTGGATATACTTAATATCTTACTATTGTGCTATTTGGTATTTCTCATCAAAACTAATTTTGTATTTAGAATTTGTTATTACATTGAATACAATATGAAAAAATGCGAAAATAAAAACTTTTAGATAATAGGGAATGTATAATATAAATTATACTTGTTTGTAAGAATAGTAGTGATCCAATAAATTACTATTCTACATTGTGAGATTATAAATCAACAAGAAATTTTGAGAGACATTTGGGTTTTGCTATCAGACCTTTTCGCTATCATCACTCACATTGTAAGAGAAGTCAATAGCTCCGCAAATAGGTTGGCGACAATGCGATCGTCTTCGGATCTATTTTGCACTTCTCTTCAATAGCAACCGAGACCTATTAGAGCCGTGATTTGACTGGATTCTAGAGAGTTTTCTTTCTTGCGTATTCAAGTTGTCCGGAGATAGTTTTCCTGTTTCCGGGTCTCGATAAATTGGAGTAGGCTTTCATGAACTATGTATTTTGGTCTTGTTTAGCAATAAAAGTCCTTTTCTCAATAAAAAAAAATCACTATTCTACATTATTAGATTAAAAAATCATCACTTTAAAATCTATCATTTATCAAGTGGGTTGGAAATTGGATC